CTTGATCAATGATCCTAATCAAGTCTACTAATAAGGGTGCAAGAGATTGGGCCTTGAAGATCTTGCAATGGATCCAATAGGGTTCAGTGACTTTCCCCTTTGGAATGAGAATTGGGCCGAATGGGCTTACTTCACACTTGGGCTTCTCTCTTGGTGGACTTGAGCTTCCTTTGTTGGGCTTGGACTTGGAATGGTTTGGGCCGAAGTGCTTGGGCTCTCTCTCCCCTTGGGACTTGCTTGGGCCGAATCTCCTCCAATGCTTTCACACTCCACATCCAAGTGTTTTAGGACTTGGAATGAAATTCTTTGATTCAACCGAATTAACAAGTGTTTAGGACTTGTAATTCCTTGTCCACTATGTTTACAAGTGTTTTAAGGACTTGTAAACGTATCATATATGGTAGGTGAAATACAACATTATGTCACAAGAAGAAGGTTTCTTTTGAGAATGACAATTGTATAGATATGTTTCGTGGTTGGATATCCTTAAGGTTTATTGGTTGAAACATCCAGGCTTCGTTGGAAACTATGAGATTTCTCTAACTTTTCTTTGAAGTGTAGAGGTTATAAAGAAATCATAAAGAAAACTGACAACAAAATAGCATATGTTTATGATTTTAGTAATTACAATCACAGATTGATTTTATGTTGATTGAAGACGTAAAGATTATCTTGGTTCATTATTGATAATCATATTGACCGGATTATTGAACGAAATGTTATCTTTGGACAACGTTATTTTCTCAAAATAGTGGCCACTTTGAAGTTAAAAAATTTGTTTACCCGGAAGCCAAAATTGTTTTCTCTTCCTAAATTAAAATCAAAACAATTAATGTTGTTCAAGTGGGAGAATGTTATAAATTTTCATGATTGTGGGCTAACATTAATTATAATTTTGTTTTAATTAAAACCGGATAAATGTGTACTCCAAATGAGATATCTAGATGAGTTTTATGTGATCGTTCTAAGATTGTTATTATAATAATCTAGGTAAACGACTAGTATGGGGTTAAGCTTTTAATGAGCTTCAAGGTTTATTGGGCTTTAATGGAAGGGTCCAATTGACCAATATTAAAATTGGGTAAATTCCCTCTTCAAACGCATTAGAACAACTTAACCTATTGTAAATCGTCATTCAATTCAATGCGCGTTATAGGAAAGGAAGACTTATAAATATCTGTGACTCTTATCAAGGGTCGAAGAATCGACAATCATGATACAAACAGGTTTGTCTATAATCTTTAATAAATAATTCAGTATTTTATAACCTATACGCGATTTTGGGATTCTGAAATTTATTGAATGATGATTGTACATTATTAAATTGTGATTTCAATTTCGGAGATTTTCTTACTAAGGAGAGGGCACATGAGGAAAGATTGCAACGATTCGTGATCAATACAAATTATTTGTAATGGCAGGACCAAGAATGCAAGTAAACGTCTAATGTTATCATCAGTATTGATTATGAACTGTATGTTTTGTTTTCTGGTTGATTTTAATGGCCAGAGTCGCCACTTCCTTGCTAATCGGTACTTCACTGGATGGATTTTACCTTCTGTTCTCTTTATTAATGGTCATAGAAATTCAAATAGATGCTATTAGCTGATTACATAAACATTGTTCAGTTATCACACTGAAGTTTATATGAACTGATAGTCAACTTAATTTTTAGAGAAAATAGTAATTTGCGAGATTCCCTGGGTAAAAGGGGGCTGGTTGCCAGTGGCTATGAGAAGAGTGATGATTCTGATCATAGTCAACAAGAAGAGAAGAAGGGAATATTGAACGTTACTTTGTGTGGGACAATTGAGAAAAGATTGCAACAAGTTTCATCAGAAAACAAAGGTAGTGTGAATATGTGTGTTTGCATTAGATAAATGCCTGAAAAAATGTGCATCAGAAAGTAAGTAATGCAATAATATAGTTTACCTCATTTATTTTGTTTGTTTAATGCTTTTCTTCAGGGATTATGAAGTGATCTTAAACTGGAAAGAAAGGTGAGAATCTTCATGTACATAGGGTTGTTGCTTTTTGGCTTCATCTTTACCTTTTGTTTGCTTTGAACTTCTTTTTTCCATTTCCAATGCGAAAAAAAAAAAGGAACTTAAATTAATACTGCAAATTTTCATGAAAAGATGAAGTTGTTTCTGTTTGATCTCATTATATATATATATGTCTACCAATACCATGATCTAAGTCTCTTTCTGCGTAACAGAGAATGGGCTTGAGCCCATCATCTTAAAGTGCATGAATACAAGTAGGCTTAAAATCCGTGAGTTTAAATGAGAAAATTAGATCATCACATTTATTGTTTAAATTACAAAGTTGACATTAATTGGTGTGTACACGAGTATCATGAATAATCCTCAAAATGGCAAGAAAATTACAAATGTCAATTTATGTAGTATTCCCAAAGGTAAAAGGACCATCTAAACATGTGCAAAATTTCAGTAGCGCCATCAATCATCACATGGTTTATGCAGAATGAGGTGACTGTTTTCAGGGACCGAAAGCCTCTCTTTATCGTATGCAACGCCAGCTTCTGTAACGGAGCCAAAGCCACTCCTTCGTCCTTACAAGGACAAAATATGATAAACAAACACGCCCTCTAATATTCTCCTCATCCAAGAGACTCAAATATAAAATTAGGATAAAAGAACAAGTCCGCTTCAGAGTGTATCTTAGAAAAGGACAGCTTCATTGACCTACTACTACTCTCCACTTTGTTTATAATTCTATGGCTACAAGAAACTTGATCATGATGTGATTGTGTTTGGCTCATCCAACTGCAACTAAAACCTTCCTGCACAAGTTTTGGTATGATGCTTAAACATAAACCTATTGCTTTCAACTTAAGACATGGTTCACTAGTGGCTAAAATACCACTTTCGTAAATATTTTATAGTATCTCACTAACATCACCATATTATTATTGGCTCAGCTTAAATATTTTACAGTTTTCCTCTCACCTCTCCACAATCACAAGGAACATATAACAAGAGTTAGTGTTAGCTCAACTACAAAATACATGATCCTTTTCCTTCAATTTCACACTAAGTTATTATAATTTGTCAAGGCAATAGTGTAGATTGAATGTGGGTAACGGACCCACCAATATCAAAAGAATCAGATTATTGCAGTGTCATCATTTGCTCAACGACTAACTTTGGTTAGGTTTCTACACTTATAACTCAATTTTACAAACTTTCTCTTAGAGTTCCGACGTGGTAGCTCTCAATTAGTCAATTCGTAAATGGGTTTTGTTTGCTCGTTATATGTCCCGATTGCCCAATTTTGAGCTAATATGTCAGGTTTTTTGGAGAAAGTTTAGAAAGTTTGTAAGATTGGGTTGTAAACTAATATTTGTTCTTCTTAATTTCAAAAATCTTCCTTGGATGCAATCTGACCACATTCAATAAGTTTAACTGCTTTTTGAACCCACTTGAAAGCTTATGGAAGCTGCACCTTTTATTTGAAGAGAAAGCTAGTTGAAGCTTATAGCTTTGTACATTACATTAATGGGTATTAACAGAATAACGTTAAAGTCAATTATGCTTTTGGTTTATGCTATAGTTGTGGACTTGTGGTGGGTATAGAATACCCTTTATTATAAATGCTATTTTAATAAGAGTGGTCAACTTTTAAATGTGACCCGAAGTGTTTTAACAGAAAATGACCTTTAACCGTGACAAAATGGACACCCAATTACCCCTTCTCCACATGCTTCTTGCTGCCTTCTTCTTACAAATTTACAAAATTGGGAACTGCAGCCCAAACTATAAACCATACATATACTTAAATATCAGATGTTTATCGAGTTAATAATTAAGTCATTTTATACAAAATTAAAGAGTGTAATTCTGTCACACTCATCTTTGCAATTATTGGTGTGATAGGAATTAATTTGATTTGGATTTTAAGTTTTCTTTTTATGTCATTTACCATTAAATAAAATCAATAAAATTTAGGTTGAATAGGAGAATTTAATCAATGTCTTTAGGTATACTCTAAGTTTTCACCTTTTTTATCCGACAAATCGTGTCATGAAAGCTTACTATATATGTTGATTATATTACATCTCCAAATTCGCTTTCTTTACTAGGTTCTATGAATTTTAATTTTAAATTTAATTTTATTATAATGTTTTATTTTAACAAATTGAAGTTTATTTCTTGGTTTTCATATCATTTATGTTGCTGCTTGTGGTTAGGATGTGTCTAAGCTTAAATAAACAACAATAACACCAAAATTGAGTGAAACCACAGTTGACTGGGATGGTTGTGGTAGTCACTTAATATATATTTATTTAAATTTAAAATTCAGAATTATTATTAAATATCTTTTAATAATTTTTTTTTTCATAATTGAGGAATTCGAGTCACCTTTACTGTACCTTAACTAACATCGAGATCCTAAAACTATTTACTAGGTACGAGCTCTAGTAGTCATCCCTATTATTAATATTAGGACTTACACTCACGACCATGTTAATATCCTCCTCTTACTTTTTATTTTCAAGGAGACTCGACTTAGGAGACTTTACTATCAGGCAGTGGTGGTTTAAAGACAAAAAATGATTTTATTAATGAGGTATTTTGATATCTCTTAAAGAAATAATAAATGATTTAATAATTTACATGAATTTACCTTATATTAAACCCTTTAATTTGAAAGGATTGGTAAACTTGTAAATTAGTAAAACACAAGCCCTTCAAAGATCCATCAATTTTGTTGACAAGAAAGTGAAAAAAACTACCCGTGCTCTTTTCTTTCTCTGTGAACTTTAATTTTTCTTTTGAAACGAATAAAGCGTAAACTCTCATCAGAGTATTCAGACTCAGATAGCCACTAGGCTTCAAAAAAATTCACTCTTTTAAACCGTCTTTTTAATATTCAAGATCCTAAAACAAAATTCCCATTTCTTAAGATTCATATTCTTCTTCTTCTTCTTTCTTTTCTTTCTTGTTCCGTCAACAGTTTCTGGAACATTTTATAGAATGGTGAAAGTCATGATGGTGGTGGTGCTGGTGCTGGTTGCTGGCGCTGGCGCTGGCAGTGCCGTGGCCGTGGCGGTAGAGTTGGGAAGTGATAATACAAGGGCATGTCACGGTTTGTGTTTGTTGGATTGTCTCCTTCTCTCCTTCTTTTGAAAAGCGTGCAATCCTTGAATCACATGTCTCCTGCCTCCTCCTCTTTGCTCTGACTCGCGCTGCTTCAATCTTTTCGGTCCAACGCTCCCTTTTCCGGCTGGTAATTTTGTGTCCCCGTTCTTCTTCCAAAGGTATATGCTTCACCGTTCATGCTTTATCTTGTGTTTTTCAACTCTACTTGTCCCTATCTTGCTCTGTTTTTCAACGAATTTCGCTTTTTTTGTATTTTTGTTTTTATTTCCCATCTCCCTGCATGAATTTTAACTGCTTTCATTTGGCTAGTATCACTTGAGAGTTATTCTAACCGCAATCCCAGTTCACTTGTTAGACTCAAAATAAATAAAATAAGTCTTTCTGACGAAAGGAAATAGAGCACTTATAATTTTTTTTTCTTTTTGATGATAAGAAAACATTCAAATGATTAATAAGGAGAGCGAATGGGTTTGAGAGGGGAAATGGTTTTATAGATAAATGATAGTCTGTTGTTATTAGTTATTCTGGCTCGAAAAAAAAAAAAAAGTTGGTTTTTTTAAAATTTCACTTTGGTATGATAGCTTTATCTTTTATTTCATCATATAAATATGGTGCATTAGCGATTACGGTTACTTTTGTAGCTGAAAATAAGGCTATTCATAGTTTGTGCATCCTTTAGTTTGGCCAAGCAGGAATCTAAGTCATGGAAGCACGAAAGTATTGAGGTGGCCAGTACAGGCCCCATTTGCATCCTCAATGCACCCATTTAGTAGGGCGATATCCTTTAAACTATATTGGGAAACAATATACATTTGTTCTATAACCTTAATTATGAGCTTTGAAGATTTGACCTTAAAAGAATATTGAAATGACATTCTGGCTCGCCGTTTTGTTCTACTATCACTAAAAGTATCTTTGCTTGTATGTGGAACACATTTTCATAACTCATCTTTGGTTGGTTTAATGAGAGAAAATTATAGTTTTTTGAAAAAGTCTTAGACAATCTTCCATATTGATTTATGCTAATCATAAACATCAAGGGTATTTCTCTATGTCCTTGGAACCAAGCATATCTTACTATGTAGATGTCCCATTTTGTGATGTGGTTGTTACCACTTAACACTGATTTACGCTTGGGGACCGTAAATGTGAGCATGCTATGAAACATGGATCAGAATGTTACCTTGTTGTTACCTTGGATGGTTTGTTAGATAGTGTAAGGAAGAATGGTAAGAGTCCGTACAATAGTTCATAATGAAATGCCATGATCCATTTTGTTTCTGTTTCTCAGTCCGATTTGATACTTCCACCCTGGCGTATTAACTTTGACGGAAGGCTCCTATGTTGGTGTTGTTGCACCTTATATTCTCAGAAATTGGTATTAATATGTTTAACAAATTTTTAAAGTACTCAATACTTGTTACGTTGTAAGTCACAGACTGCGATCTGGACAGTGGTCATAAAAGTATCAGAAGTATGACTTAGTGTTCTGTTGAAGTAGAGTTGCTCCTACAGTTTATATATTTAATAAACGGTTTACATGGGCTTACATTACATGGACACAAAGTTAAGGATAATTTCATTTTTTTTTTTTTTTTTTTTTTTTTTTTTTTGGGATTTGAGGAGTTGGAATTATGTTTTTCAAAACTCTTCCAATGAAAAACTTCTTTTCTTTGTTAAGTAAGAAAAAATATGAGAACTAATTTGACATATGTTTTTTGCTTATCATCTGAAATTCAATTGTTCTTATCTGTTGTAGTGAGGTTGAAAGAATCGCTCTACACTGTTAAGAGTATAAAGGAATATGGTATGCACTTGGACAAGTTGAATCGACTTCAAACAGGTACCAACAACTCATGTTTTCCAGCTGGCATTTATGATGCAAAGCAGTTTGACGTGAATGCAAAACCAAATAAACATTTCTCTGAAAGAGACTCTAATAGAAGCATGGATTCAACCCTATCTGGCCACTCAATGTATGTTGATTCAGACATTTCAGAAGAACTTCGGAATAAGGTGAACATTGAATTTGATGCTGGAAAAACTTTTATTGTGTACAATGTTGATTAAGAATATGTTCTCTCTCTTGGTTTACGATTAGCTTTCTGATACAGTTCTTATGTGATATCTATGCATAAATGTTAAATTCAATAAGTTGTTACTCCCAGTTTAAGCTGAAGCAGTATATTTCATCATCTGTGTTAGTGACTTGGGCAATCACTGAAAGATCTAATATGTTTTATAGGTCTTTGAGGCAGCTGCTAGAGAAGGTGCTACACTTGTAGATCAATGGTTTGTTGGTTGCAATGCAAGTCATGTAGTATGTGAAGAGACTTCTGTCCAGAGATATCTTGGCCTTTCTAACAACATTGTCACGGTCAGTATTCTATACCTCTACTGAAACTGGACATATTTGTAGACTTGAAATAGTTTCTTTGCTCAAAATTTTAGGCTCTACAAGAATAAAGTTTTCTGGCTGTCTCTGTATAATGCTTGCACGCATTTTGGAAAGTCTTAAAAATGACATCACCTGTAACATGGAAGAGCTTCAAATTATCAAGAGTGCTTTTGTTTATTGCTTTTATCATGATAAAATTGATTTGATACGTGATGTGTTTCAGCCTCTTTGGGTTCTGAAAACAGCAAAGGAGAAGAATGTGCAGAGGCTTGTTCACATGTCAGCTGATTTGGCCAGGCAGGTTGGAACTATGCTTGAAAATCTTCAAAATGGCACTGTAAGAGAGGTAGTTCTGGTTACTTGCTTTCAGAATTTTTAGATGCTTTTTTGGACAAAAGAATAATACAGGATTCTAATATATCCATATACACTTTCAAGTGTAAATGACACAGTTGTAATTGTAAAAAATTTCAGCTATAAGTTACTTTCTTTGTGTGGCGAAACAAGTATAGTGAAAGAATTTATCATGAAATACTGTTTCTTTTATATCCTCCCATATGATTTTTGGTACTGTTAGTGTTGACTATCACCTCCGTCCCCTGTATCTTCTTAAGGAAATTAATGGTGGAAATGTTCCTCAAGATGGTAAGAGCTGTATAAGTAAAGCAAGCTATGAAGAAAGGCAACAGATTGTAAATTTGGCTAAAACTGGTGTCAGAAATCGGCGTGGTCGTCGTATGCAGGCAAGTAGTCAGTCATGAATTTGTCGGCAAGTTTTTACTTAATGCATGCTTGGTTCTGTTTGTCTGATTATTCCTAGACTGCAAGTTTTCCATTTTCTCCATGCTCCATCTTAATGTAGTGGTTTTGACATGTAATACAGCTGACATTTAAAAAGTTATCTTTATGTCGTTTGCTTTTAACTACATTACATGTTAGTTCTATTTATTTGTGATTGTATTACTGTTGGGGTCAGATTAAAATTTGACTTATTGTTGAATGCTTCACTGTTGAACTGATTACTTTGTGTTAAATATAAATCATAGAACTTGTTTTTGGATTTTGTTCTTACAGACTTGCCAAACCCCAATACGTCCATTAACCCCAAGTAGCCTTCTGGATTCAATATGCTGGTCTGTCTCTGAGCCAACTTCAACTGCTTCTATATACACAGACTCTTTCAGTGGTGAGGATGTTAGTGAACATCAGTCATCCATATTCTTTGATGCAAAGGAGGATAGCAAGTATTCAGAAGCTTCATTTGCTAACTTGACCAGATTGCTTACAGAAAGGTTGTTGATCTCTCTCTCTCTCCCTCTCTCTGCTATTGTAGAGATTTTGTCTTTGCTTCTAGGTGTAAGGTTGTGGCTGAGATTTGACCCTCCAGCTCATGGATCCTATTATTTAGTGTTACAAAAACCTGTTGTCACTTCTTGCTATCAAATGTGGAGAATGATTTAAATGATGTATGCCGATTTTGACCTATTAGATGGGACCATTTTGAAAACCTCGCTTTTTTTTTAAAAGTGTTTATGCTCTCTCTGGTTAACTGGACCACTAACTGAAAATCTTTTTTGATAATTTGTCTGATTCAATGAAGAGTGCTTTATTTCACTAAATTTCTTTTACATGTGGCTCTGCAGTGAAAAAAGCGAGTTGATATTTAAGAACCATTTTCTGACCATACTCTTTCCTGTTGATCGATTTACTGAGATGGGGCCTTCTTCGCGAACATATTTCAGTGATAATGGCTTCACATGTTTGCAGGTGTTAGATCATATCTATGAATTTTATCAGGTATGATTTCAAGATGTTTGCTTCTAGGACTACCACTTGTGGATCAATAAATATTGTGTCTGTATGTCTGAATGGGTGGGAGAATGGGTGTGCGTGAACCTGTTTCAGGTTTCTATTGAAAATGCTTATGAATACTGTTATGTCCCTTTTGTATGCCTCATTAGAACTATATGGTTAATATAGCTTGGAAGCTTCTCCATTGATCATGAGTGGAAGGAGTTTCTTTCTGGAATCCTCAATGTGTGTTGATACCCTTTTGCAGGAGAACATGTCACCTCATGAGATCATTTCAGCTATTCACACTGATTCAAGGCATGCTGACCGGCTACGTGCGGTGTACTCCAGTAAAGAGACAGCAGAGCACGGTTATGTAAATTTTAAACGAATTGAATTCTTAGGAAGCCGTAGAAGTTTTGAGATGTTGAAGCACGTAAGCGGGGATAACAATAGTAATGTATATGAGCTCTTGCTGAGAGCATGATATTATCTTAACAGGGTTGCAAGTCCCCTTGTACTCGTTTCAACACAACAGTGCTGGTGATACTGACTTGTCAGCTACACACAATAATCCCTGTGCCTCCATTAGGTACAAATCCATGGACCGAAAGCGGAGATAAGGAGAGAATTCTGCTTTGTGTCATAGAATTACATTTTATGTATACATGTTCTCGCATTTGATGTGTGTAGTGAACAGAAAATGAGTGATACCCTAAATATCAACGTGTGTGTATAGAGTATACCCCGTTTGAGTGCTTTGATAACATTGTAAATTGTAGACATTTTTGTATGATTTTGAGGCTTTGCTATCAATTGTAATTTGATCCGTTTCATGCACAAGTGCACTTGTCCCAGAAATGCATGTATTCTAGTTTTGCAGTTCTGTAATTCGTTCAAAAAATTATTATATTTAAAGACAAACAGACTTTGTTAAAAATTTACTGAAGTTTAATATTATTCTCTAAACGAAACCTTAAGGTTAACCTCAAGGGATTAGTTTGATGGTCAAGGAGGTATATCCCTTTCCTTGACTTTCTAGGTTTAAACTTTGAGACTATCTATTTTAATGTATAATTGTGTTTTATCTGGTTTATTTGGTTTGTAGAATATTTAATGAACTCCAGAGATTAGTTGAAGTATATGTAAGTTGACCTAGATACCGTTGCTAGTTTTTTTATGAACTATTAGATTGACACTATTTACCATAACAGATACTGATTTAATTTATGGTAATGTAATGATTCGTTATACTATATTTATTTGTCAAATCAAACTCGAAAGGCCCACCATCTCCTTTATAGAAGTTTCGCTTGTTGAAATTTCCGAGAGGCACATCTTTTGGTCAAGAGACAGGAAGCTCGAAATATGAGTAAATGTTCTTGAAAACATGGGGTTACGGACACATTCTCGAATCCAAATCCAAATGGGGTGGCCTTTAAAGTTAGTATTCACATTTTTCATGGTCTTGCCAAATGCCAATTGCCATATTAAGTATTCACATTTTGTAAGCTGTGCAATTAAATATCCCTCATCACTTTACGTACGAAATGATGTCGCACGTTTTGTAAATAAGATGCATCATCCATGCCCACATTTTCAATGCAAAGAGATTGCTTTGACTTGAATCTCTACTAAAGGAAACCTTTGTAATCGATTTGGAAAGTTAAGACTTCAATAGAGGGTTTAACTATTACTTAGCTCTAATGATTACTTGATATAAAAGCACAATCATTAAATGATTTGCATTAGTTTCTTATTTGTTAATACAGAACCCAGTTCACTGTACAGCTTCATTAAAGCCAAAAAAGTGTGCAAATATACAATGGAGGGTAATGCTTTATGTTCTTTTCTGCACATAGAGCTTCCATTCCTACACTAGGTTCACGATTAATAATTTAAATTTACTGGACAAGTGACCAGCATGTTTCCTAATTGCTCTATCTTAAGTCACTGTTTTAAAACTCGAACTGGATCGACCAGTTCAACTAGGACCCGATCCGGATAAATATGAGAATCGAAAATAATATAAAATTCACTTTAGACCGGTAACAAACTGGCTGAATAGTGTCAACCCGCCGGTCCGACCGACTCGAGGCTTAAACTGGTTCATTAACTAGCAAATCTAATCCCTAAAAACACCAATTTTTAATTTGCTTCATTTCTTTCTTCTCTTCTCCAAAGTGCAGCTTCCATTTTCATCGTGACTTCGGCAATAACGACACCATGCAAGTAGGGAGAACGAACTAGGAAGGAGATCGAACTCATCACAGTCAGTTTTTCTTTAAGTTCAAAGACTGGTAGAGTAACAAGCAAAGAAACAAACACCAGAACACCCATCCAACATCAACAGCTTTTTAGTTTTTTCTCTGTGCTGGTGCTTGGGTTTGCTCCCCTCTTGGTTGAGAGTTTTCTGTTTGGGTTTGCTGGTTGTATTGGCTTTTCCCCTCAGCTTCTTATTTTGCGTGTCTGGAGTCTTCAGTTCTGTAGCTCTCTGCTCTGGATTCATGCAGTTATGGTGTTGGTCTTTGAGTTTGTTGGGGACTGCAATCCTTTACGGATTTTTGCTGTTGTGGTGCTGTGATTTGGGCGCTTTTCAGGGGTGCTGGAGTCTTCTCTACTGCTGGAAATTTGCAATTGTGGCTTTAGTATTCCTTCGGTTTGGAGCATTGTTTTAAAAGCCGGACCGGACCGGACCGGACCGGTTGGACTGTGAACCGGCCATGTGTCCGGTTCGGTTCAATGTCAAAATGTTATAAAACAATAGACCGTTTTAAACCGTTTGAAAACCGGATTTTTGCAGCGAACCGCCGGTCCAACCGGACCGGCGGATAAACCGGTCCAAATCTAAAAATCCCTAATACGCGAAAACCCCTTTCATCGCATTCAGTTCTTCTCTTTCACTCCTTCTCAGCTTCTTACGAAAATTTTCTCAAGTTTCTAATGAAAATTTTCTCAGTTTCTTACGAAATTTTCTCAGATTCTTCTCAGTTCTCTCTTCTCTGCGAATATTTATCAGCTTCGTCTGTGTGTGTTGTCTGTTCTCTGCGAAAATTTATCTCTGAAACCCACCCAAATCGCATCTGAGCTCTTTGAAATCAACGACGACGTCTTCCTCCCTCGCCGGAAATCGACAACGAAAGCTCCGTTCCTCGCTGGAGATCGACGGCGACAGCTCCATCGTTGACGATAGCTCCGTTCCTCGATCCAGGTAGCCCTTCTTCGATCACATAGTTGACTTTTTTGAGAGGGTTTTAAGGGTTTTAGAAGAGGACAGAATCACAGAAATGGGGAAGGAGATGAAGAGAGTGAGGCCATTGTTGTGAGTGGTTCTTGGTTGTGTCTGTGTATGGATAATTTCGTGATTCATAGCTTGTGGTTTTTGGATAAGCATTTGGTAAATGCAGTAAAAACTTTTTATAATGATGCAAACTTAATCTGGAGCAATAATCAATGCGGCATGGCTTTAGTCATTTGTTCTTCATAAAACTTTTGACTGTAATTGTAGTATTCTGTATAGGCTTGGCTGTGGCTGGATATGCAACTTTTGACTGTAATCATAGTATTTTGTGTAGGCTTGGCTGTGGCTGGATATGGAACTTTTGAGTTTTGACTGTAATCGCAAAATCTCTGCTTATTTTTACTAATTAATTCATGTGTAAATGGTGATTAGTTGGGTTGAAGATGACATGTGCCGAATAGGAAAGAGATCCTTTATGAACAATTAATTGTTAGGAGATTGATCTCTTTTCTTAAGATAGCAAAGCAGCTGGTTTACATGAGCACCTCATCACTTTTCATTGCTTAGTGCATGTTTAGTACATGTTTTTCAAGTTTCAGACAGATGGTGTAATTTTTTTAGATTGGAAGTCCTGGAAACCTAATCATATTGTAAACGTTTCATTTGTTCGATTATAACTTAGCGATCTTATAAACCTTTTTAAGTTAGCTATAGTATTTATAATGTTAGTACTGTATTATAATTTATATATATATTTATATACTAAATGAATGAGAGGAAAAAAATGGAAATTATATACATACTATACATATCAGTCCTATATTTTAGGTGGGATTTACTTCTTAAAATATTTTTGAAGAGAGAAATACTATAATATACAACAAGAGAAGAGAAAAACTTGAAGATACTAGAAGCTAGCCTTGCTGTTTAATGTATATATGATGCGTGATGACATCACCGGTCCAACCGACGGTTCAACCGGTTGGACCGGTTGAACCGTGACCCAGCCATCAAAGCGGTTTGCTCTCCGGTCCGGTTTTTAAAACAATGGTTTTTTGTCCACAATATAGGCTTGTTAGTAGTGGTACAATTAGAAGGGACATAACAAAACTTTATACTAAAATAAGTGATAAACTCAAAAAAGAATTTGAAAATTATCAAAATATATCTATTGCACTTACTTCTGTCATATGGGTTGCTAAATTGAAAACATATTTTTTGAGTGTCATAATACATTATCTAGATCATAGTTGAGGTTTACAACAAAAATTGATAGGTTTTAAACCATTATATGCTAAACACAGCGTTAGAGCAATCCATTTTGTAAATGTTGACTCTGGTAATAATGTCTATAATTAATAAAAAGTATTTTCTATATTATGTAATTTGTATTTAATATATGTTATAATGTATGTCCTTAGAATGGTAGAATCGTGATGAGGGTATCGAGTGCTTCAAATCTCGATAGTAAAGACTCTATGATCACATATAATGGTCATTCTGGAAACATCCGTAGCCCCAATATTATTTTGCCTAAGGACACATATAATATGGTAAAGCTATCATAGTATTGAATGACCTTGTCAAAAGATACTGACAGATCTCACTTGTCAAAGTTGTTTGTCGATAACCTGGTGCAACACATGGGTGCTTGTCATAGGCAAGTTCATTGGATAGATCCACTAGAGGATTCCACATAGATGGTAACGCCAATATTTATGGAATAAATCCTCTAATAGATGGTAGTACATGTGATCCTTAGAATTGAGATCATCAGATTGCCTTGTGCACCCAACATAGCTCTATTCGGTTTTTTTTTTTTTTTTATTTGACTAATTTTGGTTATGTGTTTTCATTTTTGTTTTACAGAGTCGATGTTGTGATATCTGTTGTTTTATTTGTGAATGGATTCTATAAATTATCTTTGATATTGGAAAAAGAAATGATTTTGTGAACTGGGTTGGAGGAGAGTTGTGTTATCTGCATTGTTATGCAATGTCCAGATTGTGCTTATAGGAAATTAATTTGCTTTTTGGGAGTCAAAAGTTTTGATTTGGTTGAATTGTTTATATGAGTGTGATTTGGTTTTCTGGTCGTTTTTGTTCTGTTGTGGATGATTGTTTCTGTATTGTGTCTTTATGGTGATTGTATTTAATCTTTCTTTTTAAAGGGCATGTATGAAGGAGATCAAAAGAAATCATTGGAGGTTTTGATCAATTTGCTGAATAATCTTAGTGACAAGAAGGGAACTGTGTTTGATCAAATCTGGAATTAAGATTGATGTAATTTCTAAGAGTGCAACATATGTAATTGAAAACAAAGGTGAATCGGATTGCTTTTATGTTATAGTGTC